ATCAATTAAGGAAACTTCAAAGAGAAACGAAAATTTGGAAGCTCCAAAAGATTATGAGCAAAAGCTACAAATGCACAAGGCGGACAAGAATATGAACCCCAACATGATCAACACCATAGTTTGCCAAACAATTTGCCACTTGATTTTCTTCGGGATAAATGTAAGAAAACTACCACTGCGAGATTGAGTTCAACGACAGTTTGTATATAAGGATCTTCATTAGTTTGACATCCAAGGACTAAATCAATGATTTTGAAATATTAGAAAGATGTTAAAAACACAGGTAAGGCATAAATAAAAAACAACAAATTTGGTTTTATGAAATTTTATTACTGCCCATAATTTTTTTGTTATAATGGAAGACTAAATAGTATTTTCACTTTTTTTTATTGACAAATAGGGTTTTATTAATATATAGTTTATATGTGTCAAGATTTCAAGCAAGCCAAAGATAAGCACTCGTAACATGCCAATTCAAATAATTTTTTTTTGTAGGAATGATTTTTAAATGAAGATTAAGAAATTGAATGGTTTTGATTAAGAAATTTATACGATTAATATATGTTATAAGAAAATTGGGTAATATGTGCATTCCCTATCGGAAAAAAATAGAACTCCCATTTTCTCTTTTTACGTTTATTTATTTATTTTAACATATTGATCGAGTAAATTAAAAGATAATAAAAGTATAAAGACGTCACTTAGTATTATAGTCTAGTGATATTCCTGTTCACTTGTAAGTTAGAAGTTTTAGGTTTGATTCTTACCAAATGCGAACTAGAATCAAATTATTATGGGTGTCTCATTATGAGGTTTAGCCTATTCCCTCATTCCTTAATGTAGATAATATCAAATATATTAATAAAATGTATAAAGACAAAGAAAGGAGTACGAAAAAATGAAACAAGGCATGGGAAAATCAGTAACAAAGAAAAACTCTAATGATTTTGATTGTACAGTTTTTACTTTAGGCAACATTCACTAATCATGTGGTGTTCTATAAGAAAGTAATTCGCATAGAATAAGTTCATTGTGACCGTTGATTTCACTATCTAATAAATAAAATTTTAGGTGAATATGAACTTATACGTCATGTTTTGTATAATCTGAAACGTCACGATGACTTGACTATATTCCATGTAAATCATACTTCTTCTCTACATCGAAACAAGGACAAACAAATTGCAAATCGATCACCACCGACTTGATAAACGGACGTGCTCTTTGGGATTTGCCCCAAATTCATGCTCACGTTTTCTTCTTGCGAAAATGATCGTACTACTTCATTCAGGAAGGGCAAGTGGAAACTGGAAACCTTTCGCATGAGTTAACAAGTCACATTGTAGAAATTGGAATTGTGAGATTGCTTTTTTGGTTGACTAGATGACTTATTGACTCTGAAGTCTTTCCCTACTTATCGAGAAACTATCATGCCCACACTGAAATTTAAGGATCATATTAATTTAGAGAAATGCTAAGGAGATTTTTTTTTAAATGTGACTATCTTTATACTCTCTGTCACATCAAATTTTCACCATTCAAATGTTGACGCGTGAATTTTATGCACATCAAACTCAATAATTAATCCTCTTAGAAATACAACATTTATCTTACCACATATATCCTTAATTAAAATTTAAAAACTAAAATTTATATGAAAACTAGGATACATGGCCCACCCACTAAGTTACTCTTGTCTCTTATTTTTTTAATCTTTCGTATATCGAGTTCAAATTACCTATGTACGTAAAGGCCCTTCAAATCTTGGACTCTGCCATTGATTGTAATTGTAATTGGTTAAGTTAGGATTGGATGGGATATGTTGGAATACTTGTCTAATATTTGATGTAAGTAACTCAATTGGATACGTTGGGATTAGTAAAGCATTAAATAAATAAATAAATTCCAAAAAATCAAAAATAAAAAGCTAGAAGTGTTTCGCTCTACTCGCGACACCGCAACACACGCGACGCACAACCATCAAGCATTTAATCCCTGACGATCTTGGCCTTATTTGATTAATCTGAAAATTGGTATTTAGTTTTAGCCTTTGCCGACGACTCCAACTACCGTCTATGTACGATTCATATTAGATTTGACCAAGTACCCACCCTACTTTCTTTATGTTCTTGACATCCCATCTTTTCGCCGTTCATGACCACCACAACGCTCGCAACTCACAACCACCACTCATGACACATCAATTTGAATAATTTGTTGTAGGAATGATCTTCAAACGAAGATTAATAAAATGAATGGTTTTTATTAAGAAACTTATAAGGTAAATATATGTATAAGCAAATTGGAGAACATGTACATTCCCTATTGGAAAAATGGGTGTGATATCCACACACCCCATTTTACTTCTTACACACCTTTTTAATTTTCAGCCGTCGGATCGGATGAATTGAAGAAGATCAATGGACAGAAATTATCAAGGGGTATGTGAGAAGTAAAATGAGGTGTGTGGATAGCACACCCCTTGGAAAAAATGGAACTCTCATTTTCTTTTTTTACATTTATTTATTTTATTATAATATATTGATTGAGTAAATTAAAAGAGAATAAATGTATAAAGACGTCACTTAGTACTATAGCCTAGTGATATTCATTTTCACTTGTGTTGGAAGACTTTTAGGTCGAGTTGGATTTGGGCTTTGAGAACATCATCTTGTCTCCCTTGGTGCGGATTTGTACCAAGTCCTAGGATATCTCAAAAGAGATAGCTTGTCTTAGGAAATACCCTGGTAACATCAATGATTCGAATATAGCATGATTGATCAAGATAATGACTTACTCAAGTGAAGCGTGGTGTGGAAACTAGAAGATTATTGGCTTACATGAGAGAGAAGGGATTTATGTGGTTGCATGGCATTCTTTGCTGGATAATCTGGGCTTTCCTAGGGTGATAATAAGGCGTCTAATGGTTGGGATGCTTGATGGAAAGCTATGGAAATCATTAAGGTTGCTTGGGTGCTGATGCTTAAGGCTTAGAATATGCTTCTGGGCTAACAAGAACTCTCTGGACTTATTTCCTAGGTGGTTCTCTCTTCCTGCGGTTCTCCTATCTCCCTCTTTGTTAATCTCTGAATCTGTTCATATCCCTCCTTATGCAAGTGAAAGGTTCCTCTCTAGATTTCAAGATAATCTCCCCTTGTGGCTTGGTCCTCCCCTCCTTTCTTGCTAGGCCTCCTATTACTCCCCTTTTGGTGTAAGATAGCTGTATTGTTGAGACTTGCATATTGCTTCTTCTCGAGACGCGCCTTTCCCATGGCCGCCTTCCACAGACGCTAATTCTAGTAGCGCACTTGATGGCTTTTGCGTGTTGGTTGTCTGTGTAGGCTGAGAAGGGAAAGTCAACATTAAATGGTTGACTTGCTGGGCTTAACATGCATATAATGCAAGAATCTAGTTTAGTCCTAACTAAGGGGATTGACTTGCTAGAGAAATGGAAAAATTAGGCTAGTTCTCTCTCAAAGGGTATGGGCTTGGATCTTTGGGCTCCCAAGTAACCCAAAGTCTTCCATAACCTCGATTCCACGTAGGCCCGATAACCTTCCATAACCATCCACATCACAATTTACTTGGCAAGGCCCAAATATGTGATTTGGGCTTAGCATGAATAGTGGCTAAGGAAGCATGGCATGATGAATAGGCATGAGCATGGCGTGAATATCCGGCTTAATCTCCATGGCATGGCATGCTTGTAAATATATTCCTCGTCGATCCCGTGCATTGGCATGTGCTTTGGCTTGAATGTAGGCTTTGCATGACAATTGGGCCTTGAGACTTGGTTGGATTGGTGTGTGACATTTTTGGCCCCCAACAACTTGTAAGTGATAGGTTTTAGGTTCGATTCTCACCAAATGCGAACTTGAACAAAATTACTATGGCTATGCCACTCCCATTGTGAGGTTGAACCCACTCTCTCATCCCTTAATGTAGATAATATCAAATGTATTAAAAAGGTATAAGGACGAAGAAAGCAGTACGAAATAAACCTTGGCATGGGAAAATCACTAACAAAGAAAAACTCTAATGATTTTGATTGTAGAGTTTTTACTTCACGCAATATCTACTAATTATGCATATTCTTTGCGAAAGTAATTCGCATAGGATAAGTTCACTGCTGCAGTGATTTCGCAGTCTAGTAATGAAGTTTCAAGTGAGCATAAACTTACACGTCATATTTTGTTATAGGGATGTGATATCTACACATCCCATTTTACTTCTCACGCACCTTATTACTTTTCGGCGGTTGGATCGGATGAATTGAAGAAGATTAACTGACATAAATTATCAAGGAATGTGTGAGAAGTAAAATGAGATGTGTGGATAGCACACCCCTTGTTATAATCTGAAGTGTAACTGTGACTTGAACCTATTCCATGTAAATCATACTCCTCTATTTTGAGGCAAGGACAAACAAAATTTGCAAATCGATCACCGCCTACTTGATAAACGGACGTGCTCTCCGGGATTTGCAGTAAATTCATGCTCATGTTTTTCTTCTTGCGAAAATGATCGTACTTCTTCAGGCAGGGCAAGTGGAAAACTTTTCACATTGTAGAAAATTAGAAATTGGAATTGTGAGATAGCCTTTTGAGTTGACTAGTTGACTTACTGATTCTGAAGTCTTGCCCTACTTATCGGGAAATTGTCGTGTCCACATGGAAATTTGGGGATCAATTTAATTTAAAAAAATGTTAGGGAATTCTCTCAAAGTGATTTTGAGACTGTTTATATATTTTCTTTCACCTCTCAGTTTATCGTAAATTTATGCATCAACATTGTACAATATTGTGCTAAAAACATGAGATGGCAAAGAATCCATAAAGAGTTCACTTTTGAAAGAAACCTCTTAGCATCTCTCTTTAATTTACAGTTTTTCAAGGATATATTGAATAAGAAATGCTAACTACTTTCCCACGCATTTTTCCCTACTTATCTTTCGCGTTCAGATGTTGACACGTGAATTTTAAGCACATCAAACACAATAATTGATCCTCTGTAAACACAAAATTTATCATACCACATATACCATTTTAACCATAAATCGCTTGTAAAAATTATCTTATCTCATAACTTACAAGGCTTGCAACAACAGTAACGTCATGGTAATACATTTTGCAGAGTTTTCGAAAACAACCGTTTGAACGAGTTCAGAACAATGTTATACAAGTCTGCACAAGCGAGGTCTCGAACAGAATTGCCTTCCGTTAGCTTTTACCACTGCCGCTACTCCAGCAGTCACTCCAGCCAAAAGAACAGAAGACATATATTGCTGGGCATTTCGACCAGCTGCAAGTAGGATTTAAAATTTCTCACGTCTTAGTCGATCGAATAGAACTCACAATTGAGAACAAAGTTCCACGGACTACAAGATTTCAGGCAAAACCAAAATAACAGTAGTACCTTGCTGAAGTGTGACGGATGTCAGTGTCAACCCTCCAATTAGCAAAGCTGATGCCACCGGTAGAAACTGCAATGTTTGTTCTCACATTTAAAACTTGACCACAGATTCAGTGAAGTCATTTTAAAAGTGGCACAAGTTACTTTCATTCATGGCCACCTAACAATGATTACGTGCCAAGCTGACCAACCAACCAAACATCAAGTTTGCCAGAATTCGATTTTAGTTTTCCTTTCGTTACTACAAACATATCCATTTAATAGCGCTCGTATTCAAGGTAGGCATGATTTCTTACTAAATTTGCTTTCAAGAGATGCAATTGGACCATCAGAGTACTTCCCAAACCATCATAAACTAAAATATGAGGTTCCTTGAAGATGAACCAAAAAAGATTTTCTTGGTCCTACCAACTGTAATGGGATCTGAATAACTGATAACAACTGGATAAAAGCGGATATTGAATTCAGGCACTTCAATTTCTCAGAAGGATTCATTATACTTACAGAAAAAGATTCAGCCCGGAATGGTGAAGTATCCCTTCTAACTGTATAGTGGCCACTGATAAGATCCATAGCATCCTGAACAAATTTGAGACTAATTTTAAGCAACTATAAACAAGTAGACGTCACTCGCCTTCATGCAGATGAGTGATTCTCAATATTTGAGAAAGAGGGGCAGATCACCTGCCGAATGCCATCCTGAAAGTTATTCAAATAATATCTTGAAAGAGCACTCATCCCATCTTTGATTATTCCTCCAAATGTCTGCTTCCCATATCTGCGGTAATATGGATCCAAAATATGAGTCAAAAAAAGGATGAGTACGTATTGGCCATGATTCAAGTCATACTTTAGTAGACAAAAGAAAAAAGTCATACTTTAGGTTGAACTTACCTAACCAGGTCCCCTTTCAGGGCATAAGTGCCAGCATACTCAAGGCTTATCTCGTCGCCTTGCTCAGCCCACACTGAAGCAACAGAATTCAGAATAAGGACAAAATTTCATCAAGGGCATTGTCTGATCATTTATGAAAGATAGGATACAGGACACGAAGAATTCCATACATGCTCTAAATGTTTGATAATCTTCAGCAAACATGGAAATGCTTTCAGAAGAATCCAGCACTCCAGTTCTTTGCAACTGTGCATCTAGAGACTTCTGGGCCAAGTAACTCTACAAATAAAAAAGGAGTAAAACGATTTATGTTAAATCTCAGTTTACTCATGCTATGGCATATGGTATATAATATCATCACAAAATATTATGAGATCCATCGCACAACATAATTCTCTTAGAAACCTGTGTAACATTTGTTCTATCAAGGCAATCAATGCAGTTTGTTCTGACAATTCCTTTCTGCTCCTCCAGTATGTTGCCTTTCGCATCTACGAGGAAGTATCTGCTCAGCTGGAACAGTTTTGATTAAAAACAGTATTATACATAGCCAGCATACCTAGATTTTGGCATACTTAATTCAACCAGATATTATGCCTTCATTACCCTTGCTTCTCAAATTGCTCTGAGATCTGCTCATACAGAAACTTTACGTTTTCAAAGTTTGAGTTACCACATACATGATGAAAGTCAAATGAAACGTATCTGCAACAAAAACACAAAGTACTAACTATTAAGTTGAGAGCAAAATCTAATTTCTGACATTGTTCCCAATGCCAACCAATAGAACTGATTCATTATAAGCAACCTCAAAAACAAAAAAGGAATCTACTTCAAGTGGGAAAATGAGTACGTAAGTATGCAAATTGTCACCTCACGTTTGGTAGATTTTTCATTTCAGCAGAAAATGCCGTGCTTAGTTGACCTTCATCACCATGCTGCAAATAACAATAAATGAAAAAATTATATTAACTGGAAATACAAGAAACAACATACTTTGCATACAGGTTAAATATAATATTACAAAAAAAAGGAAAACTTGTGTAGCACAACATCATTGCATATTTCGCAAATCCAAGAGCCACAATGGCGAGTGTCGTACAAACACAATTTGAAGGAAAAAAAATTGCATACTTTTTAGCTTAACACAGAAGGTGAATCAGTGTGCAGAGATTATAAAATTCAAAGAAAAATGTAAAAGAGGAGAAACCCTTACTTTATCAGTTAGGTCTACTGCCATTGTCTCTCCATATCTTTGGGAAAGATCAAAAAAATGGCGCTCCACAACATTTGACTGCAAGTTGATAGGAAAATTCAGATCACAACTCTAACAAGGGGGGTGCACCTTGAAGCCAAGAAAAAAGTAAAAAGGGATGGAGCTGCATATCTGGCAAGTGGCAAAAAATTACCGTCTGCTCATGATCAATAATTCTAAGTCGTGGTTTATAGCTCAAGTCAACAATTTGCTCCCAAAGAAGCGGAATTGAACCTCGAATCTGAAAAACATATCAAAAATATTATGGAGGATTTTTATTCAGAAAAAAGGAATAGATAAATAAATCTTCTCGTATCAAATTATGACAAACCTTCCGGTCTACTATCAGTCTTAAGGGTTAATCATGAAACAGTGTGTGCATGTTTAGAAAGTATTGTTACAAAAAAGTTCTCTAATTGTATAAAAGTTGGCAAAACCAATCTGTCCTTGTTAAACGGTACAAAATTTTCATTTATGCGAGGGCAAGTCCTAAACCTCAAAAAAGAACGAAAAAGTTCTACCATTATGATATTTCTCACACCAAGGAGCACAGAAGATACTTTTCTCTAAAGTTTAATCCTCAACCAACTTGGTTGATCATGTTACAATGACACCAAGATATAAGCTAATGTCCTATTTAGGCAAACAAACATAATAGTAACTAAAAATATTCTGATACAATAATACTTCAGCACACATTTCTTTTTGGAACCTCCATATGAGAATTACCTGCAATAATGCGGACTGGAAACCTTCAATCTCCACCAATTGCTCAGTTTCAATAAAATTAGCTACATCTCCATCAAGGTTCGCTCCTCTTCTCCACATTCTTGTCCCTAATTGATCACATTACCGTGTTTAATGTTTAGGTCCTTCAAAACATGCCAATACAGACACAAAAGTGATTACAAGAATCAATCATCTCTCTAAGATTGTACCTAGACGTCTGGTACACCTCCTTGAGACTATCGTCAGTGTGGAAGGTGAGCCTTTCAGCTTTAGCTGTGCAGTCTGGAAGCTTAAATGTAGGTTAAGGAACACCATAAAATTCCCCAGTTGAATATATTACTCAAATAATTTCAGAATCTCCATCTTCCTTACAAGTGCACATATATGCATGCCCCCATACAGGGAGAGAGAGAGAGAGGGGGAGAGAGAGAGAGACAGAGAGAGAGACAGAGACAGAGAGAGAGAGAGAGAGAGAGTATAAACATAAGCAATCAGTAAATTCAGGATATTTCCTTGTAGTAGAGGAATAATGAACCCATCAAGCTGCCATGAGAAATTAATGTGCATTAGCAATAAAATACGTGTGCAAAGAACTAACAACTTTTGGAAATGCTTTTCTTCCTCAAAGATATACATTTAAGTGGCTTAGGCAAGCAATAAAATACTCCAAATTGTTTAACTACGTATGCCCTAGAAGATGGAAAGTCTAACCTTATACTCAATCAGTTCGTCCAAAAGATTTCTGTTCCAAACAAATCGAGGGTCAGCCTGAAAACACAAATGAAATTAAAAACTACCCAGCAATTACTAGTTATAAATCGTAATGAGTAAAGCAAACATTTGAAAGGGGCTAAAATGACATAAAAAGAAAAGACTGATGAACATCCATATGATCTGGTGGGTGGGTTAGTTGACTCGATACTCATGCTTTCTAGTGCCGAGAGAAACTCCTTTGGATAAAGGGGAAGGGGGAATCACTTGACAATAAAAAAATTGCACAAAGGATGGCACGTCTTCAAGGATATGAACTGAGAAGGCATCTTTATTGAGCTCAATCTTTATACCTTGAGAACAAAAGATAAGTATGATACCCAAAAAAAAAAGTAGGCAAATCCTTAGGGTGGTGTTCCTTTCTTTTCCCTAATAACCCTCTTACTCGGAAGGAGTTGAGGATAAAATAAACCCCAGGACAATATGGTTATGTGCACCTGACCGATAAACCGAATAATCTAAGTCTCCAACTAACCTGCTTCCATATTGGTTTGGCCATCCATCCTTCAACTAACTTACATCTTCTTTGAAAGCTGGTAGAAATGATAAAATACATATAATTAGAATAAACTAACACAACACTTAACCAAATAGAAACATAAATTGACATGATACAACTCGGAACCTTAACAGATACAAAACTTTTCAACTGTGGCTGAGCTCTAGGTATAAGAATTTACTTGAGTGTTATATCAGTCTCATACGAGAAGTACAACCCTGGAGTTGATTGGACTGTTTTCAACAGAGCCATGAAGTAAGCCTCATCTTTTTTCTGTACAAACACATCACAATCTTTCAGGCAAAGACTCAAACTTTAAAAATCCCAACTCACTCCTCACATTCGCTTCGTACACGCATCAAAATGAATCAAAAACCTTACCTCCTGAGCAGTTGAATTCTTCAAACCCTCATTGCAGGACAGAAACCTCATCGAGTTTACTCTGTAAACAGGGAAGCCGAGATAATTCCCGACTTCCGTCCGCGAAGTTATTACAAGTACATAATTTCCTGCACCAAACACATCAATTCAACAAACAAACACCATATCCTGGAAATTTAGCCATGCAAAACACGCAAAGATACAATTATAGCAAAAAAAAAAGTTTCACATTTTCGATTCGAAATACTCAAAAGCAAGTAAAAGAAAGAAATTCACTTACCTGCAAGCAATCTGATCGTTCCCGCCACTCCGTATATCGTCGAGGTTTTCGAAGGACTTACAGAAGAAGAAGAAGAATCGCCTAGCAATCAGAAACGAGTATTGATTGAGCTACATAAAATCAGCGAAAAAAAATGAAATTCGCCCGAAAAAGCGAAGATTATGTACCGTTGAGCGGCTCAATAATGCCGTCGCGGTGGTCGATGGAGAATCCTCGATCCGGAGCCGCGACGGATTTGATCACGAACTGGTCCTGAAACTCATGCAATTCCAGCTCCTCGTAGAGCTTGAAATTGCCGCCGGAGCAAGATCCACCGCCGTCCATTTCCGCCGTGTTTGATCGGAGAAGAAAATGATGGTTTATCAATTTGGAAAATATCTTTAAGTTCCCAACGACTCCTCCCTATGTTTTCAGGCTTTCAGCCGATGACCGGTGTCGAAGACATAAAATGACGTTATCACCCCTAATAATTCGTGATTATTCTAATTATTGCCCGCTGGCGGCGGAGAAAGGGGCAGCTGTGATGATTGCGTACCTGATATTGTACCGTAATAAGCTACAGCCGCATTGTTCGTCGCGTGACGGGAGTGAAAACACGTGGCGACGTTTTGGATGGCGTCGGTGGCGACGAGGAGTCTGTGTGCTGAAAACGAAAGATGGACGCTTGGATTGTGTCAACAGAAAACAGTTGTAGTTGCGTACACGTATTTTGGGTTGAGCTCAGTAACCAACTTCTAGAATTTTCTGTTAGTTGGAACTTGGAAGTAGATATTATGGGTTAAATCAATTGGTTGGGGTAGAATTCCCTTCTAACCGAATTCAAATCTCTTTCCTGATAAATTAAAATAGAATTAGAAATTTTTGTACATTTTTGACGGAGCCTGAGGTATCGCACATCCTGAAGGGTAGGATTGATACCTAGTGGAGCCCAGAAAGGCTAAGCGCATTTCAACTTACTTCTGATCACAATCAAATAGCACATGTCCTCTCAAAGCTTTCAATCAACCAATCATCTGTATTTTTGTCACTTCGTACCTCAAACTCAAAAGCAGAGAGCATACTTGACTTGAAATTCTACCCATGAATTAAAGGTCACCTTGCAAAAAGAAGGAAAAAACCAATGAAGATGACAGACAGCTTATCATTCCCACTCAATCAAATTTCCTTCACCCAACTTTATTTGCTCAAAGTTTGAGAGTTACAAGCCTAAATCTAAGCACGACAGCCTAAAGTTTTGAATCCAGTCCATCACAGCTCACGGTCCACCCGGTGATTCGTTGTGTTTCTACCATTTAAGACCCAAATTCCATTCTTTGTTCACAAATTATCTTTTCTACATAACTCGTATAAAACTAATTAATTTCATCAATTTAACATAAAATCAGAGCTACTTTAATAGATAAAAAGAAATACAAAATATGTAACCCAACTTATCTTTTGCTAGTTCTTGAGCAAAACATTAAATTGTGCAACAAGCCTTTAAACCCTTAGGTGTCCCTAATAGGAGGAGTTGCATCTAATGGGGGTTTACCAATTACGCTACCCCCAAACGCTTTATGTGAACATTTCAACTTCACCACCTTTGATTTATGTGAACATACCTTTTGTGAGGACCAATTCTTTCTTCAAGCTGAGGGAATATGTTAACAAGGATTTTATACATAGCTCTATAATACCATTTACTTCATCTCTTGCACAACACAAGTGACCCAAAGGCAACAACAAAGCCAGATGCAAATTCGATTTTGACACTGATAAGATCCTAGTCAATCTCATGTCTAGAATTTGGATGGTTTCCATTTGCTTGTGGTGGTGACAATCCTGCCTTCTTATCCATCGTTGACAGAGGCCCCATAATCCTTTGTTACCCAGAAATGATTCTTTTTTAAATGATTCTTTTAGACAAGCTCAACACCCTCAGGTTTGGGAGTGAAGATGATATCACTTGACACCACTCATTCCCCTCCCCTGTGCTGATATATTCACACCATCAAGATATAGCTCTGTGAGATCTGTGAGGTTGTGAAAGAGCATGCTTAAATTAGGGCTCTCAAATGGCATGTACCACAAATTGTAAGATTGAGAAATATCAAGGACAGCCAACATTGTCAATTGTGAAATCTCAACTGGAATTTTCCCCTCGCCGTCATAATAGCTATATGATAAATTTAAGTACCTCAAGTTTGTAAGCTTTCCAATTGTAGATGGAATGCGAGAGCCATAGCTAAAGATATTATCTGCTAAATTGAGGCTTTGAAGCTGTTGAAGATCAAAGAGACTGCTCGAATTGTCAATCCCACCAAAAATAGATTGGTTGCTAATGTCAAGACCAACAACATGTCCATTAGTACTACAAGTAACACTCATCCAAGAACAACAGTCGGTACTTGAATTCCATGATATGAACTTGGACACAGTAGGAGAAGAATCATGAAATGTAAGGGTTTTCTTGAAATTGAGCAACAACAGCTGCTGGTGTTGAACTGCAGGGATGGTATTAGCACAGGTAGTGGTGATAGTGGTGATATTGAACAAGAATAAGAGGAAGAAATATTGGAGCAAAGCTTTCATTTTCCAGACACAATTTGCTAAGCTTAAGTAGCAGAGAAAGTAATCAAGAACAATTGGACAACTGAGAATGGTTTGGGTGGCTTTTATAGGCATGGCCATTGGCCAGCGAATTGGAAAAAAGTAAAAGAATATGGCTGAGGATTGTATTGATCATGATTATACATGTATAAAAATAAAATATAATCTGAAAAGATATGATTACGTTCTCTTTGGGGTTGCCATTAAATTCGTCGGGCCATTGTAAATGTAGCGTTAGGTTGTGGAATTGTGATATTCCTGGGTTGATTTGTTGACTTATGGACTTTGAAGTTTTGGTCTTCTTCTCTCTCTCTTTTTTTTTTTTCTCTTCTTTTTACATTGATAAGTGAATATGAACCCATATAATTTCTTTCTACTTCATCTTACTATCTACAAATATATTATTTTTAATTAAACTATCAATATCTCTTTAAAACTTTCCATCATTGAACTGAATATTTTTAGTAAAATCAACGAAAAAGATTAAATAAGAATGTAGGTAAGTCCCTTGACCAACCCCTGATGAAAAATTTACAATAGCCTATAAGTTATTAGACAGGAAGTGGAAATTTGTCACATAAGAGGATACTAATGATATAATTGGATTTATCCACGACATTGTGGAATTGTGAGATTGCTTTTTTGGGGTTGAAGTTGATTTTGAAGTCTTGATTGGTTTGTCGAAATTTATGGATTTTGATGGAGTTTAATTTGTAGATATTGTCATGTAAAATTTTGAGTGAACCATTCTTCAAAATCTTAGAGAGGAATGTAAGAATTGTGAATGCTTAAAATGCACTACAAAATCTCTCTAATTCGAGGGACTTGGACAAAATTCTTTAAGCATTCTCAGATCTCGCCTCTTCTCCTGAGATTTTGGGCGAATTCATCTCAAATATCTAGACATGTTACTAAGCCAGTTAGAAAACTAGGTAGGCTACCTTTAAAGACGTTACCAATGGTATTTTTGTAAAAAATGAGATAAAAGTCTCAATGCATTCCCATGATCCCAACGGATTAAGCCAAAAGTGTGGATAGAAAAATTCTATATAATTATAAGAAGGAGAAATTATGTTCTCATTCTTTTTTTGACAACTCCATTGGTTAAAATCTTGTTCCTTTTCAGTTTTTTATTTCTAAATATATTCATTTAATGTAAAAAATGTTACAATTAATATATTTGTATTTATGATTAAATTTTTTATCATATATTTTTAGTTTTAGTTTGTACCCATTTTTAATTTGTAATTCTTTTTTAATTTGTACCAATTTTCTTTTCAATTTTAATTTGTACCCATATATTAATTTCTTTTTGTGCCCATATTTTTTAAAGTTTATTTGTATTTGTACCGATATATATTTTTTTATTTGTACTTTTTATTTTGCTAAATGCACCCATGCTAATTATATGTACCCATTCATGTAAAACTTTTTAATCTTAAAATGTACTCATTCTTAAATATACCAATTTGTTATATGTAAAATGTACCCTTTTTTTTTTTTATATAAAATCTATTCAATTTTTTTCTAATCCATTTTTAAACTTATATAGGTACATTCTTTTTTCTTTGATTTTAAAATGTATCCATGTCAAGTTTAATCAAAGAAATTTACTAATGTTATTAAGCCTAATATCTTCTTTTTTTTTCTTTTTTGTTTTTGTTGTGATTTTTGAAGAATGTATCCATGTTTTGATACAATAATTTTTTTGGTTAATTTTGATGAATGTACCCATGTTTACACACACACACAATAGTATATTTATATTTTAATATTTTTAATCCCCACAAATTATAGTTTTTTATTTAAAATCCCATTTATATAAACAACTAAAATTTCTAATTTTTAATTCAAAAATATAGTAACGTACATAGAAATAAATTATCACATTAATTTCAGGGATCTCAATCAAAAATTAAAAATCAACAAGGTTTCAATCAAAGAATATTCATAACTAAAGACCGCATCCAAAATCTCCCTTATAATAATGATTTTTATATAAAAAAAACTTGGATTTTCCAAGGCTGGAAGAGGTAATTGTATAGCAAACACGACAGTTTTTCGTATGTTTAAAGAAAAAACTACATGCATTTGGCAAGTACATAATCTAAACTACAGAGGCGTCTTAATTCAAACTTAGTCCTAAGACGAAAATAAAATGAGGTTTTTCTAATTTAGTATGTAATTTTTATATTAGCCAGTGAAATTTGGAAATTTTTCAATTCAATCTTACACCATCTCCACAACAAAGTGAATTTACGGCACAGTAGATAAGATTTAGGAGAACGTGAGCATGTAGCTCATTGGTTAGTGGGGTTTTGAATTTCCTGTCAAATTTGGGTTTTCTGAATTTGTGTTGAGCCATAGCAGATGCTCTGGGAGGAAAACAAAGGAGAAAGATTGGGAAAGAGGGAGAGGAAGGAAATTGTAATTTAAAATTTATCTGGTGGGTTCCAATTTTCAATATTTTATTGTGTTTTTTATTTTTTTAAAATAATTAGAAGGGTATACAGGGAAAAAAATTGTCATTTATACCATTAACATTTTAGTTTAATCTGTAGAATTGTGTAAGTGTATTCTACATGTTAAAAGATGAAGATGAGTGGGGATTGAGAAGGTTGTTAGCATTTCTTTTGATTTGAAGATATGTAATATCTATTATATTTTAACAGCCTTGTTTTAGTCATGTCCGTGTCTTTAGTTTTTGAGATTTATTGTGTCTCGTGTGACCTTATCCATGTCCATATCTGTGCAATTTATGGTTTGATTTCTTAGTTGGATTCCATGTTTGTGGAGAGATTTTGTTAATTACCTATTTGATTAGAATTAAGATTTACTTCCAATAGAATTAGGATTAGGATTCTACATTATTGTAACCTAAGTCATATACGCTATAAATAAGACTCTAGGTTTAGTTTATTTTTGTGTGCCAAAATGAGGGAGGACAAACAGAGCCAAAACAAAGGAGAAGAAACAAAGACAATAAGTAAAACTGTTTGATTCAATGTTGATTTCCCATTTGATTTCGTTTCCTTGTTGACTCTGAATCTCGACAGATTACGATGCTGAAAGCAACTCCATAGGACAGAGAAAAGGGCATAAAATTTCGACACTGATAAAATCTACTCCAAAAATGAATGTTGATTGCTGTACCAAAAGAAGTCCAATTTCGACACTGATAAATTCCCAATTAGTCATCATCCAAAGTAGTAGATTTCTCTGTTTAGTGCAAAAGAACAAATAAGTCATCATTCAAAAATAATTAATAACGATAAGAAGTCATTGTCCAAAAATCAAAGCAAAATAGTAGGAATTCCCTTTAAATTTCAGAACTTTATTTGGGAGGACCGGAAGTTTAAAGCAAAACCAGATTTTATCACACTTATTTTCAGTGAATTACTAACTTGCAGTTTGAACTGATCACAACATGATTGTGTTCTTATCTGGGATCACCAGATTAATCCTAGTTCACATGGGGGATATAATAGGAGATTACTACTAATGATAAAACTGTTGAATTTGTGGCTCATTCCGTGTGGGTCTTTAGACCTTGTGAAAACGGCTTTAGGGTTAATTGGCAGCAATCACTCGAAAGGCACTCCCATTTGAAAAAGACATTTTGTATAAAGTATATGCCTTTTATTTCAAAGAGAGGGAAAGCAGAAGCCACTAATAATAAATAAATATATTAATCAATACTTAAGCAAGAAAAAGGGAATAAGCCGCACCCTTTTTACAGAAGAAACAGAGAGTTGCTGCTCTTGCAGTTTGGGCAATTATTCACTCAAAGATATTGGTGCCATATCTTGCAATATGTCTTTTCATCTTTTCCATTTGTTCTTTATTTGAATGCGAGTAATTGAGTGTACGTGGAATTTGGGATTTGAGAGAAACTCTATTTTTGTAATTTGAGAGTTAAACTATGTTTATAATTCCCATTTTGATTATTAGTGAAAATTCCTCGATGTCTCTAAACTAGACGTAGGCTTACGTCGAATCAGTATAAATCTCTGCGTTATTTTAGATTTTTTGTTTTGTCATATTTTCCGTATTAGTTCATTAGTTTCATATTTGATGCTTCCGCACAACAAAACTTCAACAACACGTGAAGATTTATTGCAAATCAAGCTGAGAAATACAAAATAAAATATTTTAAAACCAACTAGAAGGACATAATTTAATTAAAAACGCTACACTAAAAATCACCGTTGTTATTTCATTGGGATCATTTGTGGGGTCTATCCGCGTTGAATTTCGATGATTTTGAACCGTTATTTTTCCTCAAGTCTTGGTGCCGCTGTCAAGTTGGGTATTGGCATTAACGCCCAGGTGGCCGGGCGTGAAGATAAATGTATTGGGTATGGTGGCTTTAAATATTAATGATCTTATGGAATTGGAAAAAAGCTTCCATGCATGGTGGTTGGCTTGACTTATCAAGTCTTTTCTTTTCTTCTCTTCTCCTCTTTGCATTAACCAGAAGAGAAGGGGAAAAAAAAAAAGAAGCATTAGCTTATAAATAATTGGGAAATTCTCTTTATTACCAATTGGTTTTATAATTAGAATTTCAACTTTCTTCATGAACCGGTTGTCAAAGCAAATTATCTCATGTGTGAAGTCCAATTCCAACGTGCTCTATTGCCATGTTTGAGCCTATAGTCGCACAAAATCTGTTGCTGTTTAGATGAGTTTAGTTGTGATGATTTCGTTTAACTAGTTAGTCTGTTAGAACAAGGCATTAGCTTTTCTATACTAAAAAAAGGAAGCAGTGGAATTATTATCATTACGTTAACGTCTCACTAACTCCAAACGACTTGGCTTTGTGGCTATTGACTGACTAATTAAGGTACTCAAAAAAGAGCGAGAAATTTCGCCTCTACAAACACCAGCATAGCCAAGGGGAAGATGAACGTAGATGACGAGTCACATTCACATTACCCCCGTGCTCTTCAGGTTCCAAATAAATAATCTGAAGCTTTCCATGTAGTTTCGGATTATACTGTTATGAAGCATCTGTGGAAATTGATGGATATTCATTTTATAGATATTTGAATTGCATCATGCACTTGCTTGGTCCCAAAACCAGAATTTTAAAGCAAAACACAACTTTAAGCCAAACTAAGCTAGAATTGAGATTAGTTTTGCACGTAGCTTCAACTCATCACTCATCACTCATCACTCATTTCCGGAAATATAAATAATCGCAACTCCTAAGCCAAACATAATTCCAATTTCAACACTAATAGGATCCCAACCAATCTCACGATCAGAATTTGAATGGCTTCCGTTTGATTGTGGTGGTGGTTACAATCCTGTTTTAATATCGGCAGAAAAAGGAGGCCCCATAGTCCTTTGTTACCTGTAAACGAGGCTTTTGGAAATGTTGAAATCTGAGTACTTGACGAGTTGGTTGATTGAGAGATTCAAGAATTCTAGGAAAGTAAGCTTTGCCAACTGCGGTGGAATTTGCCTGCTCAACTTGTTCTGTGAGAGGTCTAACGACTTGAGTTGATGCATGTTGGCAAATAACGATGGGATTTCGCCTGTGAAAAAAATACTAAACAAGTTAAGGAAATACAGTGACTTAAACTCTCCCATTTCCTTGGGTATTGGTCCACTGAAATTGTTGCATGAGAAATCAACCAAGGCCAAGATAGTTAGAATCTTAACCATATCCGTCCTTGAACCTTTTCTGGTAATTGTTATACCATCCTCAAAAGAAAACCAAACGTGTTGTCATCATCTGAAAATTCTATGAGTTTGATTTTAAATTTCGGCCTTGTCAAGTTGTTGTGAGCTAGGTCTATGATGTGAAGCATTGGCCAGGTGCCATTGGTTTTGGGACATGCAATGCGTCCAAAAAATTTGTTGGATCGCAAAACCAGGACACTCAAAATGGATATGTTCTTCAACAAACAAGGAAAGGAATCTTTTGTCTGATTGTTTCCAAGGTTTAAATCGGCTTGAATTTGAAGTGTTATTGCAGGGCCGACCTGGACAGCAGACCCCTCAAATTCTTTTAATTTTGAAGTGATAGAAATATTCAATGTAGTTTTGGGGTCAAAAATTTTAAACACACATTTCAGGCGCTTCAACTCACTTTGCGAAGATGTTGGGGAAATCATGAACCGCAAACATTCAAGCTTCAACTTGAAGATATAAGAAAAAAGGAGAAGAATGCTGCTTTTTCTTTTCTACCATGCGCAATTCTAACCCCTTTGATTCATTGCTTAGACATGAAGGGAACATCATCACTTGTGAAAATGGCAATCATGAAGCGAAGAACGGCATCTTATTCATTCCAGTATATTACAGATTGTTTAGGATTGAGCATAGACCGTCTTATCTCCGAAACTCAACATCCTCTCATACAGTAGCATGTAATTTGTAGACATTTATAGATGTACACGCATTCATTTCGATGTTGGCACGGGTGCGATCCGGTTAATTTGTGGCCAGAAACCAGAAACAGTCATCAATTTAGAGGAAGCAAAAGCAAAGTCTAATTAATTCAAGTGTGATGAACAATCACCAAGGTGTACTAATTTAACAGTCATCATTTGGCATAAGTTTATAGTTTTTACAGAAGCTGAAGGAAACTGTGGAGGAGTTGTCTTTCCATATCTTTCTCAATCAAAGCAAATTGAGCGATAATATACAAACAGAACTTGACCAGTGCACGAAAAACAGAGCAAACATTTAAAATCAAAGATTGTGTACAAACACACAAAAGAAAAGAGCTAATTTTCTCACAAACCAAAGCCAAAACAAGGGAGAACAAACAAAAGAAGCATAAATAATTAAAATTGTTTGATTCAATACTGATTTCATATGTGTATCCATTTCCTTGTTGCCTCTTGATCTCGACTGATTTCGATATCCAAAGAAAGCAAACTAGACAGGGTAGAAACGAGGGTGCAAAACCTGTACAAAACAAAACCAACAGATATAAGATATAACGCATCACAAATTCAAACAACATAACCCCTTTTCCTCGCCCATGTGTTTGAGTGTCCATCCTAGAAAAGTGTTAAAATGGAATTCAAAATGCGTGCCCAAGGCAATGGTTAGTAGGCTTGTTCTTTTCGTTTTTTAAGAAACCTCGACACTACAAGGAAAATTTATTAACCATAATGTAGAAAGATACAAAATAACTTCCAAACCTAATTACAACACAAGCTATAAATCAAAATGTGAAACCATATTTTATTTGTTGGATCTTACCCTAGGCACAACATGGAGTCCAGCTGCTTGCTCCTTATAAACATTTCAACATCTCCACCTCTGATTTATGTGAACATGTCTTCGATGAGGACCAATTCTTTCTTCAAGCTGAGGGAATATCCTCACAAGGATTTTATACATAGACCTGTAATACCATTTACTCCATCTCTTGAAGAACACAAGTGACCCAACAGCAACTGCAAAGCCAAATACAAATCCAATTTCGACACTAATAAGATCCCAATCAATCTCATCTGTAGAATTTGGATGGCTTCCATTTAATGTTGGTGGTGGTGACAGCCTTGCTTTATTATCCATCGTCAGTGGAGGCCCCCATAATCCTTTGTTCCCTGTAAATGAGTCTTTGGAAATGTTGAAATTTGAGTACCAGTTGGGATCTTGCCGACAAGTTGATTATTCGAGAGATTCAGGACTGCAAGGAAATTAAGCTTTGCCAGCTGTTCTGGGATTTGCCCTCTCAACTTGTTCTGTGACAGGTCCAAGGACTCGAGTTGCCGCATGTTACCAAATGATGATGGGATTTCACCTGCGAAAGCGTTGCTCGACAAGTTGAGAAAATATAAAGATTTCAAAGCTCCCATTTCCTTGGGAATTGATCCACTGAAATTGTTGTATGAGAAGTCAATCAAGGTCAAGACAGTTAGAATCTTCGCCAGATCCCTCTTTAAACCTTTGCTTGTAATCGTTATACCAGGCTCATAAGTAAATACAACTTTTTTGTCATCAGGGGATGTATCTGTACCACACAGACGACAATATGCACTTCTAGTATAACGGATTCTAGAATTATAACAACATCCCCTTCTATTATAACGGATTCTAGAATTATAAGAATATACCGTTCTATTTCTAGAAGCCCTGACTGTCGACGAGAAACCAATATTTCTGTTATCCTTCATTGCTTGCCATGTTGTCAGAGAGAATCCTGGTACTTCACCATTGAAATTGTTGTAAGCTAAGTCTACGATTTGAAGAACCGGCCAGGTGGCATTGGTCTGCACTACTGGACATCCAATGCCTCCATAGAAATTGTTGGACCGCAAGGCAAGAACGATCAAGGTGGAGATGTTCTTCAACAAGCATGGGAAGGTGTCTGTTATTTGATTCTCTGCAAGGTTTAAAAATATTAAACTTCTGCACCTGGCTAGAGACTTTGGAAATTGACCCTCAATCTGATTTTGGCTGAGGTCTAGAGCTTTTAATGACTCACAATTTTCAGGAAATTCAAGATTAGAAATAGTTCCGGTAATGTTGTTTTTCCTGACATTAAGTATCATGAGTCCTCCCATTGTAGCCAAGCATTGGGGAATCTCACCACTCAGAGAATTATTGGACAAATCAAGAACGATAAGACCACTTGCATTGCATATTGATAATGGAATACTAGAACTGAAATGATTGTCTGAGTAATCCAGACAACTGATATTTGGTGGGACAAATGAAATTGGCCCCTTAAGCTGGTTTGAATGAAGGTCAAGTGTAGACACAGGAGATGTGGAGTTGATGAAAGGACCTTCAAGACTTTCCAAGGCATTATAAGAAACATCTAGGTAATCAAGAAAATCGAGATTCCATATCCAATTGGGTAGCTGGCCTTGAATTTGGTTTTCCGAAAGGTCCAAATTTCTTAAATAGGTTTGATTTCTCAAGAAAACTGGGAATGTTCTCAACTTGTTAGAAACTAAATTGAAATCAGTAATTTGAGGAAATGAAGAGTATGAGGAATTGCTGCCATTGTATAAAACCAGCAAGCTATTGTGCGAAAGATGAATCTCCTTCAGATATGGCAGCTGATGAGGACCATTAAAAGGAAAGGCACTGAAATTGTTTGAAGAAAGGTTGAGGGTTTGAAGCCCTCGAAAATTAAAGATAGACACGGGTACCGGTCCTTCCAAATAGTTGAAACTCAAATCAATGAAAGTAACTAAATAAGAAGAGACATTAAAAATTTCAGGGAGTTGCCCAGAGAAATTATTATAGGAAAGTACTAATTTCGGCAACAAGGGAAGAGAAAACAGAGACGACGGAATGCTCCCCACCAGTTGATTGTCGTACAAACGGAGATCTACGAGATTAATAAGGTTTTCCCAGTGAATAGAACTAATTGAACCATTAAACATGTTTGATGACAGCTTCAAATCAACCAATTTAGTTAGGTTCCCGATTGACTTTGGGATTGATCCAGTGAAATTGCTTTTGGAAAGGTCTAGTGTGGACAACATGTTGAGGTTGCCAATAGAGTCATGCAATAACCCCGAAAAGCTTGTCTGGCTTAAAATCAAGGATCGAAGAGATCCATTCTTGGGAAATTCTGGCAAGGAACCATGAAGTTCCGTATTACAGGAAAGGTCAATAGTTTTTAGTGTAGGTACCTGAAAGATCTGCTTCGGAAATGTTCCACGTAAACCACAACCTGCTAGACTCAAGGTAGTCAACTTTGAAAAATTGGCAAAGAATCCTGGAACCGGAGCAGAGATATTGTTTCTGTCCAAGTTCAACACCGTCAGGTTTGAAAAGTTGGAAAAGAATTCTGGAATCGGACCGGAGATGTTGTTGTGAAAACCACCCAATTGAATCACGGATAGAGCCTGAAGCTTGGCAAGGGATTGATCAATAGGACCAGAAAGATTAGTATTAGACAAGCTCAACACCTTTAAGTTTGGCAGCAAAGATGTTATCGCTTGGCACCAGTGAGTCTCCTCTGCTGATACGTCTACACCGTCAAGATGAAGCTCTGTAAGTTCTGTGAGGTTTTGAAAGAGCATGCTGAACTTCGGGCTTTCAAGTGGCTTGCGGCCCCCGTTATTGTAACTTTGAGAAATATCAAGGACCTCCAACCTTGTCAAGCTTGAAATCTCAAAGGGAATTTTTCCGAAATAATCATTATTTGATAAATTTAGATACCTCAAGTTTGTCAGCTTTCCAATTGCAGATGGAATGCGAGAGCCTTCGACAAAAGAGTTATTGGCCAAGTTGAGGCTTTGAAGATGCTGAAGATCAAAGAGACTGCTGGAGCTGTCAATGGCACCCAAGATGTGTTGGCTGCTAATGTCAAGACCAACAACATGCCCGTTGGTACTGCAAGTAACACCGACCCAAGAACAACAGTCTGTACTTGAATCCCACGATACAAACTTGGAAGAAACCAGAGAACTAGAAAACGTGAGGTTTTGCTTCAAACGGAGCAATGACAGTTGCTGGTCTTTGAGACACTGGTTGTAGACTCCAGTTGTGACATTATGACAGATAGTGAAGAAGAATAGGAGGACAAATGATCGTAAAGTTTTCATTTTTGCTAGCGGAGTAAGGAAAGTGTTTGATGAAGAACTGAGGGATTGGTGTGGTGGCTTTAAAATTAGTTTTCGTCGCTGCAGATTTGGCTTGAAGTCTTGGTCTATTTCTTCTTTTTACTTTAATCCCACTTTTTATCCCTTTGAAGTCTTGGTCTTGGTCTATTTGTTCTTTTTGTTGTGATTAGTGAATGCGACTACACACACTTTTTATCGCTTTGAAGTCTTGGTCTTGGTCTATTTCTTCTTTTTGTTGTGAATAGTGAATGCGACTGCACGCACTTTTTGTCCCTTTAGAATCTTTGTGACTTGCAGACTTTGAAGTCTTGGTCTTTTTCTTTTAACTGTAACCAGTAATGTTAAAACATTGCAGAAATGAATTAGACAATGATCTGCCTTTAATGTCGTGGATAAATCTTCCACGGGAGATATTATGTTGGCTTGACTTGCTTCCTTTGAAGTCTTTCCCCCATCTTTCTGACGGAGTAGGTGTGAACCGAGATAGGTGTAGGGGCCGGGGAATACCGTGTTAGGTACGTAAGTTGTTTCTATGGTTTAGCAGGACTACAGTAGGAGATAGATTCTATCTTACAAACAGTTTACATGGCGAGAGAGATAAAAAGAGGAGATTATATCAATTGTCGGAACGACGGATTCCCATATGATACCTACTACGATCATTTCAATCATTGATAATATTGGGTCACCCAAAGTTTCTGAATGTTGAAATAGTGTTGCCACTACGATGCATTCGTCGACAGCATGTGTAAAGAATTCAATGTAGTTTTGGGTTAGGTCGTGCTAGAGAATGTGACCGCGCTTCACTGCGGTGATTGAATATATTAGTCGGAACAAGAATGAATAGTTTCTACATAGAGTAACTAAAATGACGGTACAGTACCCAAGAACCAATAAAAGAAACATTCATTTGCAGGTCATATTGCGCCACCAATATCATACTCATAGTTTCAAGTAATCAGTCCATTCCATGCAGGAAAAACACAGAAAAAGGAAAACCCAAAAGTAGAAGACTCAATATTTTAGCATTCGGCAGGAATAGCAAGCTTGCGAAAAAATTGCTAAACCATCTCACAAATTCAATCGTCAAACATTATACTATAACCCAAAACAAAGATAAAGCATGTAGTTTGTTTACAAATCACAACGAAACGCTGCTATAATGTGCGACTGAAAAAATGCTTCTTAATGCGGTCTTGCAAGAAATGAATGCAGCCCGAAAACAACCCAGAAAACACCCTATAAATCTTTACCACCTCAAACTCACTAAGTAGAAGCATAAATGGACATGATTCCTCCCTAATTTTGTAATAGAAATTCCAAGAATACAAGGCTCCAAAGGTGTTGACTTATCTTTGGCATAAATCTGTACCCGTGTAAAGTAAGAGGTATCAACACTATATACACTGCTTCACAACCATTTGAAGTTGTCGACACAACGCTTCAAATATTCCAGACTCAAAGATTTTCATACAAACAGAACACCTAACCTAAACAATAACCGAAGTTATGGTACCTGAATTAAGCAGGCAGCCGCTTTGCAAGGCTTTCTTTGACATCATCTCACATTCCCTTTTCGTCTTTCCTATATGATCCAATAAACTGCTCAAATTCAGACGTAAATCAGAGAATCTGCCACTGTACCATCACAGTCGCTAGTCCTGGTAGCTGCTCTTAATCGAGAACTACATCAAATAAACAATAATAAAATCTAATGTAATCTGTCAAAAACCAAAAAAAAAAAAAAAAAAAAAGAAGTGATCATTTGAAGGCACCGCAATGCCTTCGCCATCATACACTTGCAGCATGTAATTGATGCATCTGTTGTTGAATGAAATCAGTTGTTTGGCTAAAAAAATTAAAATACAATGACATCCAATTTATGAGAAATCATGCAGAAGCAAATGTAAATGATAACGGAACCATGAATGCGAATGAGAAACACAAACTTGCCAAAAAGAAAACCTAATATAGCGTGCAAAGATACCCAGTGTATTTTTTTTTATTGCATCATCCATTTAGCAACACATTAAAAAAAATTTGTTTCAAAAAGCTTTGCTATGCTTATTAGGTCCTGTGAAAAAGACTACGAAAAAAATTATGAAACAATTACTGAAAAGACAGAATAATGGCCTAGTAATGGCAAAATACACTCCTCGACAATGTACACGAACATGCGAGTTGAAATTTTGAAACATTTGACAACAAAAAGAAAGAAGCAAAATCAGTAGAAAAGAAAGAGATGCTCATTCAAAAAGAAAGAAGAAATAATACCAGCCTTCTTCTCTTCGGCATCCAGAATTCCATCGTTGAATTAAATCACAGAATGGAAAAAACGCAGAAGAAATCATCACATAGAATTAAATCACCCAAGTAAAATCAGATCATGGACACAAAAAGAAATGAAGGCAGTTTTATTTGACTTGATCAGTGACTTGCTGAATAACCTTCGAATCTGTGTCACGCATGCGTTCGACTTCAACTCCCATCCTCGTTGCCCCTATGATAAGCAGACACAAAGAAAAAGAAATTGACTTAAGTTATAAGTTTAAGCGCATTACCTGTAAGGATATGCCCCTGTGATAGATGACCTATTAGCTGTAAGGATGAAGACTTGGTAAAACCATCTTACCAACCCAGGAAACCTCTACCATATGAATTTAAGAGAATGATATTACTCATGTTAGACCCAAATCAAACACAACCACCATACATTAACTAAAAGAAAGACCATATTCTTATAGAATAAGAAATCGTCCCACTCTTCAATTCATCCTATCTGCCACACAGCTCTGTATCTATATTCTATAGTTCAGTCATAGGAATGAGCTTATTGTAGTGCCTGACTACGCTAATAATTGATAACCAAACAAAATTAAAGATGAAAAGTCTTGGTACCTGTAGGCAAACGCTCAATCCACCAATGTCTTCCTGATCAAAGTATAATTGCTGCAAAAAGACAATTTTGTCGACATAACTTGATTAGTTAAAAGAGCAGAACATATATAAATATTTACTTTCCAGGTAAACCGTGTACGAAGAGAACTAAGATTTAACCTTGAACTTGCCTTTGCAGGCGATTGCACTTGGCAGACAAATTCAGCTCCTGCTTCCGCTTCGGTATTGTAACAGAATAGAAGTGATTGCTTTTCAACCTGTTAAAAGACAGGAAATAAATGAATATATAGAATACCATAATTAAAAGAATAAACCAGGCCAACAAATGATAACTTACATTTTTCATTATAGACTGCTCCAATGGAAGTGGATGGGTAGTGACCACGCCACTTAGTGCCTCCTCCAAGACAGTAGCTGATACGGTGGTCTTTAATGGCACTCCGAGTTCAGTGATGTGTAAAACATTGTTACATCATCAGGAATTCTTTCATAAGTTCGGAGAAGAGAAGAAAATTCTGAAGAACAAAAAAGCAGAATAAACAAACCAAACATGGTACCAATGTCTACACTTGGCCTTATCAGTTGCAGATTCCATTTTCCACCATAAATATTGAAGATGTTGCCTATCAGCTGTCCCTATGAAATTAGACACTTACCCGAATATTTGTCAACAGAAACAGGGCAATATACAGCTTGAGAGTCCAAAGGTAGCCAATTAAGGGTACTTTTGATTCTGGAATTAAAACTCACAGCACCCAAACTTGAAAGATCTAGCTCCAAGCCCTAAACAGATTGGAGCACATTGTTGCCCTTTGCAACAATACAATCCTTTCTTTACAGGAAAAGCTAAAAAATAAAAATAAAAACAAAATTATGTCAAACGACTAAGAAACCACAATTTTCTTAGACCATACACAGAAGCAAAACCAAAAAAGTTCAGAAAAGGCAAAAAAATATCATCAGAGAAAATAATAACATGGAATTGAAAACCTATTAGCCAATTTAGTTACCAATTTTTGGGGTAGATTGCCAACTCCCAATTTTTAATTTATCAAATTGATTAAAATTCCTCAATCTGTTGCATCTGACAGTCCCACCCCAGAACAGTAAACAAAAATTTTCTCAATAGAAGAACAGGCACGTCAATTTCAGCTCTTACAACCGAAAGAAAAGATTAGGGGTTCTTAGTTTCTTACCGAAATCCATAAATTTGAATCAAATCTCTGCACCCCAGCTTGAGATCCCTTTGAAATGACCTCCATGAACACAAATCTTATACATGCAGAAAATTTTAGATGAAGTTGTGAGAAGGGGTGATCAACAGCGAGAGAAGAGGCGAGAGGCAAGGCAGAGGTGTAATAAACTCAGTTAACATTTTGCAAGGCTAACCTATAGACTATTGATATTTATTCAGTTCCTAAACAACACACACTGTATGCAATTGTAGCTCAAACTAACTTTCTACATTACACTTTCCTCTCTCATAAGTGAAATACAGGACTGAAATTAAGCAAAAATTAGTCAACAAAAAGTATAAAAGAAATGTACCTGTGAACAACCGGTAAGCATTGGGCAACATCATTTTCTGTGCAGCATAGAACATGTCAGTTTTCTCCGAAAGATACAAAGAGGAAGAATGTCCCAAATACTGAATTTGGGAAAAAGGAGAAACTGCAAATAAGGATACCCCAGATGCTGATTCTGGGAACACAGAGAGGGTTTTCTGGGAAATAGACCAACAAAGCATGACATTATTTTTCGAAATTGATATTAGCAGGGAAAGCACAAAACTTGATAAATTAAATGGAAATTTTACTTCAACCCAATAAATACTTGTTCTTCAATAATTCATGGAATCCACTATATTGTCACATACTACAGCTATGCGTCGGTCCAACACTAATTTTTTTATTTGGCCTAAAACAAAAAAAAACCCAAAACTTCAAATTCAAAAACTAGGCAAATAAATTTAAAAAGGGTAAAGATTTTAGAGAGAGAGAGAGGGGGGAGGGGAGAACCTTGAGCGAGGAGGCAATTGACGGTTTCATTGGAGGAGAACATCAGTGCAGTTACAATTTTGTCAAGCTCTGCACCAACAATTAAAAACAGATAAAACCATCAAATAACACCTTATCCTTTATCAGTCATCTCAGGCATTGATTCTAGGAAAGATTCTACACCACGCAGCACAACAAAACGTATTTGACAAAACAAAAAAATGTATACAAAATCTACACAAAAATACATTCACCATTATTACCTGGAGCTTGGCTGCTTTCTCTAAACCTTTCTGCTTTTCAATTCCACTTCTCTTGCCTGCCCGAATATCAAAAAATCGAAATTACTTTCTTTCGAAAACTCAGTAATTCACATAATTATGTCTACATTA